TATATAGAGAGAGAGAGAGAGAAAAGAAATGGCAAGTACATTCCTGTAGGGGAAAAAAATGCCCGCACGATATGTAGGGACCTGTGTGTCCATTCCATTTCTACTTAAATATGTTTTTTCAAATCTTGGTAAAAGGAGAGAGGGCCCTGGGATGCCCAGTGTGTCCAGGGGAAAATAATGGTTTGCTACAACAGATTTAGGTTTTTGTTGTTGTTTTTGTTTTTGTTTTTAATATTTTATTTATTTAGAGAGCACACATGCGTATGAGCGGAAGGCGGAGCAGAGGGAGAGAAAATCTCAAGCAGACTCCAAGCTGAGCATGGAGCCCTATGCAGGGTTCATCCCAGGACCCTGAGATCATGACCTGAGCTGAAATCGAGCTAGACGCTAACTGACTGAGTCACCCACCGTCCCACAACACATTTAGTTTTAAAATTTTTCTGTTCTTTACTCATTCATGTGACCCTGATTCAACTCATACACATCCCTTACAGCTCACCATCTCTGAACCCAATTATCCCATCTGCAAAATGGGAATGAAAATACCTACTTTGCAGGGTCACTAAGATGATGAAATGAAAGAAATAAAGCCTAAGTGCAGTTTCTAACAAATAATAGATAGTAGATTTTGAAGTTGCTGTCACCTTTCTAAAAAACATTTATGGCACATTTCCTCCTACCTCTTTCTCCTAATTGCTAAGGATCTTGTTCACTATTTTCATTGTCCTGACTTGATAAGTTCAAATTTCTTTCCACTCTTAAGGCTACATGACCTGTACTGTTTTTCCTAACTGAATCATCCCTTCATCAGTGCTGGATGCTTTTTCTGCCCAGACTGTCCTGTCCAGACACAATAATACTTCTATTCTACAGTGCTAATGAAGAAAGTTAGATTATACCTTCATAAATTTCCTTTTCTCACTGTTATCTGTTTCTTCTCATTGTCTAATATCTGAAGACATCTACCTCATCTTTTCCAAGGTTAACCACTTTCCTGTGATGTTGACAAACATCATGTTTCAACTTTTCTGAAATCCTGTTCCTCTGATTATTTCTTCTTGATCCAACATCTGAAACATATTGTTCCCCATTTTTTCCCTAGATCTTTGACTGCAATTTCCAGGGTAGAGAGGGGGTAAGAAGGCAAGGCAGGAAAGATCCACAATTCCTCCTTAGCTATGAGCCAGATTAGTACTGTTCTCTGACTCTTTACTTTCATAACCCAACTTTTTAAACTGGTGGCTTACCACTAAAACCCCAAAGCACTATTTTTTTTTCTGTTCATTCTTTTTATCAATTTACTGTGACTGAGGTTCTGCCCCATTGAACTACTCAAAACACATTTTTTAATGTAACTTATATCTTCCTAATTACTAAATCAATTCTCATTTTCTTTTTCATCCCTTAATACATTTAATACAGTTAATTCTTCTAAAACTCTTTCCTCCCTTGGCTTTTCACAATTATGTACTATTCTGGATCTCACTAGTCATTCCTCCTTCGGCTTCCCATACGTGCTCTCCAAGATCTGACCTTATCCCTCTGTATTCCTTTTTAAAAACATGTTCTCTTGGAGTCCAATTACTACTCCTATGCCTGAAGAGACTTACTATGCAGATGTTCCTTCAGCATTTCTGGAACTATACTCAACACCCCTCTTGTTCCCCCAAAATATATTTAACCCCACCTCTACTTCATGTCTTCCCTGAGAATGATACATTACCAAACATTTCTGGTGCCAAAATACAGTCGGTCAGTTAGTAAACTAAGTTGACTATTAGTTTTTCAATACATTAAGTGATTTGGTAGACATAAGCACTGTACACTATTTTCAGTTTTCCTTTTCCAAAAAGGAAAGTCATGGGACTTGCTTTGTCCAGTGAAATGTGAGTGAAATGGAAATTGTGGAAGACTATATTAACTTTGAAATACTGTTAAATCAAAACAGTATGAAATGCTGAGCCAACGCAATGAAGATGTCTGCCCAGAAAGTCCTGCAGTGAACTTCCCACGAGTAAGCAATAAACACTTACCTTAAACCATTGTAATTCCATGACTATTTCACCATAGTGTAATCTAGTTTATTCTGAATGATGAAAACAACCTTGCTGTCATTCTAGCTAAGACTCTTATTTAATCCCCCAGGGATTATTTAGCATCTTAAATGTTACTTGATTTCTTTTTCCAGCTTTATTGAAGGATAATTGACAAAATTATAATATATTTTAAAAGTACAATATGATGACTTAATATATGCATACATGGTAAAAATGATTCCCACAATCAAGTTAATTAACACATCCATCACCTCACATTGTTATCTTTCTTTTTTTTTCTTTTGAGAACACACTTAAGATCTACTCTCTTAGCAAATTTCAGTGTATGATATAGTATAATTAACTAGAGTCACCATGCTGTGAAAGGGTATATAAACTTTCAGTTTATACCCTATCAACTTCTTCCCATTTCCTTACTCCCCAGATCCTGGCAACCTATTCTTTGTTTCTATGAATTTGTTTTGTTTTTTTTTTTTATTTTTTTTATTTGAGAGAGAGAATGCAAGCATGAGCTGGGGGAAGGGGCAGAGGGAGAGGGAGAGGGAGAAGCAGGTTCCCCATTGAGCAGAGAGCCCGACGTGGGGCTCAATCCTAGGACCCTGAGATTATGACCTGAACCAAAGGAAAACGCTTAACTGACTGAGACACCCAATCGCCCCCCACCTTTTTTTAAGATTCTACATATAAGTGATCCCATGCAGTATTTATCTTTCTCTGTCTGGCTTATTTCACTTAGCATACTGCCCAAATGTCATACATAAATGTGAGATATCCATATCTATCTCAATCTCTATATCACATTTTCTTTATCCATTCATCCATTGATTAGACTTAGGTTGTGGTTTCCTTACCTTGGCTACTGTGAATAATGCTCTAATGAACATGGGAATACAGAAATGGCTTCCAGATAGTGATTCCTTTGTATATAAACCCAGAAGTGGGATTCTTGGATCATATGGTAGCTCCATTTTTCGTTTCTTGAGGAACTTCCTATAGTATTTTCCATAAATATACATTCCTACCATTCTCCACATCTTCATCAACACTTGTCTCTTGTATAAATGTTACCTGGTTTCTAAACTTTCCTTGCTCTAATCCATTTTGCAAACATTTAACAAGGTAACATTCTCAAAGTAAAACAATGGAAATTACTCCTTTTAAAACAAACAAACTTACAAACATATTTAGAAATGTACTAAAAATAAATTTTGGGCAAGTGAAATTGACTAAGTATTAATTTATTGAGCTGAAGCCAGATATCATCTTCACAAAGTAAACTTCTGAGATAAGTTAAAAACCTGAAAATTTTATCCAAAGATGTATTATTAAATTTTATTATTAAACATCTCAGTATATGATTTTCAAAGTTTGACATTACAGTAGAGGTAAGATACATAATTTTTCATCACTGACAAATTGCTGACACTGTGTTGTACCTTTATGGTATTAAAAAGATAATCACTTTAATCTCTTGAACTTTTCAGGAGAGCAAGATTTCTTTTGGGTAACTTATGCTTCTCTAACATTCCCTTCTTCAAACTTTTTATATTCTTTTTTATATTGAGGATATTAGAGATGGCTATGAATGTTGTTGATTCATGATTCTGGAAGTTTTCTCTCCTTGTGAAATTTTGAGATTTCAAAATTGATATTCAGCTCTTAATTCCTCCTCACAAGATGAGGAGATTCCCAAATCGAACCATTACTTGAAAGACTCCTAGCTTAAATGCATTTAAATTTAATAGTTAAATATATTACTTAAAGGTCATTTTGTTTAATGCTATGATTGTCAGCACACCAAACAATTCTACAGAGATTAGAATTATATTAAAAATTAAATCACTTGGGGCTGGGAATAAACTGGCGAATAGATTAATATGGTAGAGTCAGACACAGCAAGAAGGAAAAGAATTTCAAAGAGGGAAGGGTAATAGATATATTCAGTAATCCCTTCACAAGTGTTCTTATCAGAAAAAGTGACTAATATCAACTTCCATCCAGTTGGGTTACAGAACCACAGAAAGCTAGAATAAGAAGAGCCCCTTGAAAGATGATCAGCCTATGGAATTTCACACACACACATAGGAAATCAATTGACAGGCTCATATGGGCAGAAATTCTAGAAGTGATAATAGTAAATATGCCTTCAGTAATACTATTTAACGCATAGTAATTGCTTTACATGTGTTATCTCTTAAATCCTTGCATTAACATTATGAAAACCCACTATTATCCCCATTTTACAGAAGATATAACTGAGGCTTAGAGAGGTTGAACAATTTGCTTAAAGTTACAGAACTAGTAAGTGATTAAAGTATTGAGATTTGAATCAGGCGTTTTAGCTCCAGATGCAGTCTTAAACATTACATAACATTTCAGATGTGTATGTCCAAGCACAAAATGTAGAGGTTATATTGCAAAAATTAAAATGAGCTGTTTGAAGGTGATGGAATTTGATACATTCTCATTTTTTTTTCTCAAAATATTTTTTTTAACACCATAAATGCAAGAACAAAAGAAAACTGGATGATCAGGACTATCCCATTTGCTTCCATTATCTCTGTTCTCTGGCGCCTTCATGAAGTTACTCGCTTCTGGGTTTGATTAATGTCTTCATCTCGACGTCAGTCTGTCTCTGCAGGATTTTTCCTTCCAAACCTGGACACCCCGTCCTCGGAGTCCTCAAAGTTCCCCGGGCCACTCAGCCTCTCGCCCTGGCTCGCTGGCGGTTTCTACTGCGTTTCCTTCCCCTTCTCCTTGGGAAGGTTCACGGCGCGGAGACAGGGAACGAAACGGGGGACGAGGAAGGATGTCTCGACAGTGTTTACTAGGCCTGCACCGCTCTGCCTGAGCCCTGCCCCCAGCTCTGAAAAGCTTCCTGGAAATGTCCTTGTTATCACTTCCCTCTCGGGCTGGGGGCTGGGAGCGGGCGGTCCCCCGCCCCCGGCTCCCGCTATTCTGCCCGAGCGCTCGCTCGCAGGCGCCGCCGCGCCGCAGTCCTCAGTGAGCGGCGCCCGGGCTCGCAGGTCCCCGCCGCGACGCGCCACCGTCCTGGTCCCCGCCCGCGCCTCCGCCCGCTTCGCAATGAGGGTCCTGGGTGGGCGCTGCGGGGCGCTACTGGCGTGCCTCATCCTAGTGCTCCCCGTCTCCGAGGCAAACTGTGAGTAATCAACAGCGTGCTGTCTTCTCTCCGCAGCAGCGCAACGGAACCCGGAGCCCTCTTGGTAGGATTTTCTTTGCTCCGGCTGCAGCCAGCTTTTCGAAAGTTTCCAGTAAGTCCCGACAATCTCCGGGCTGACGGAAGCAGCCAGTGGATCTAGCGGGCAGTGTAGCAGTGGGGCAGGGGCAATTTTTGCCCTGCTCTAGGAGTCAACTGTTGGCTACTGGACGGATTCAAAAACCTGGGGGACACTAAATAACAATGAAGGCGTTGCAACACCTACCCACTTGCCCTCAGCAGCTGAAGTTCCCAGAGGACAAGGATGAGCACTTTCCAGTATAACGATAGGGAGAAAAAGGCAGCCTACTAGGTTTCCTCTCGGTACAAGCGGCTGTCCCCAGCCAACACCCCTTGCTGAAATTTTACCTCCCTTTTGCAATTTCTGGACTTTGAGCTTGGTTTGCTTATCTCAACATTGACAAACCAATTGTTTTAGGATCACTGCTGGTTTGCATAGCAGGAGGTAGATGTCATTTTCTAACCTTGAAATCAAAAGGACTGCTAAATGTTGTGTTTCTCAGATCATTTTGTACAAAGTATTTTTGACACTGTCACTGATCTGAGGTCATGGCATGAATTCTCTGTACTTTATCTTTGTATTTCCAGTTCTTTATGTTCCCATGGGTGGATTCAAGGCAGGATGTTGAGTTTTCTCTGAAAAGTATGTAAGGAATATCAAAGCATTTAGTACATTTTTTAAAAAGATTTTATCTATTTATTTATTAGAGAGAGAGTAAGAGAGAGCGCACAACTCGGGGGAGGGGCAGAGGGAGAGGGAGAAGGAGACTCCCTGCTAAGCAAGGAGCCTGATATGGGGCTCAATCCCAAGACTCTGGTTTCATGACCTGAGCCAAAGGCAGACACTTAACCAACTGAGCCACCCAGACGGCCCTTGGCATTTAGTACATTTTGATTGCCAGTTAATTTGTTCGTTTTCAAAGTTTAAGCATGGTCATTGATTAAAAATGCTTACTTGTGCTACGTTTTTTATTCTCAGGAAATGGCATGGGAGAGATAAACTCTGAATTGCAAAAACTTTTAGGCTGCCTAAAGCTCCTGTGGAAACTTTTCAAAGATGGTAATTTTAGGAGACTTAAGTAGGAATTTACTAACATTCCACTAGTTTGTACTAGTTAACTGATTAGGATGATTGAGGTATTTTAAAATTCTAATTTAAAGGTAAAACATGATTTGTTGATCTTATATTAAAGAGCTGCAATAGCAGCATTGCTATTCAAACCACTATCACTAAGCCTGTATGTGGACCATATGCGTATAAATTCATTATTTATGTAGTTCATTACAACAATCAAATATTTGCTTGGTAACCAAAGAAGCAAAAGTTTCTTCCCACACTCACTGCTTGTCATCACAGGAATGTGCTAAACCCTTTCTTTTTGTAGAGACTGTTACATTTTCACTGAATCTAGACACAGTTAAAAATGATGTATATGTCTGTGCGTGTTAAACACAAGTAATCAAACCATATATATGATGAAATATATTTGTTATGATAGAGTGGAGAAATTAATAGTACAAATACATGACATAAAGAATAGTTGGCCCTATATTGCCTTTATTTTAAAAAGTATGAGTAGTTTAACTGGATTAAAAATAATCTTTGGTTAACTGATGGGGAGACTGAGGTACAGATGGAATGTTTTTACTCCCTTTAAATTTGAGATAGAATTAGAACTCTAAATATTTGATTTATAACTCATTGGTTAGTCCATGGAAATATAATTGCTATTTAAAGAAAAAGGTTTTAGTTTTGAGAGTTGTTAGAATCTATCCAGTTCAACTTCTTCATTTTAATAATAAAGAATTGGTCAGAGATGTTAACTGACTTTGCAGACATTTATATATATGAAAGATATTTTTACTATCTCTTATATTGTTAGTAAATATAAGAGAGAGACAGAAAGGGGCAGAGAGATAGATTTAAAATATATACTGTCTACATATTCCATCATTTGCCACTAAAGGCTGTGGTGAGGAGAAATAGGAGAAAAGCGATGATCTCCGGCTGCGCTAGTTTGGTCCTATCCAGACTTCCACTGCTAGGTGGATGCAGTCTACCCTTGACATTACTGACTCATATATGCTTTCTCTTTTTTGCTCTCTTCTTTCCTTCTCTAATTATTCATTGTTTATCTGTCTTTAAAAAAAAAAATCCCTTTATTTCAGAGTTCAAAATGTTGCACTGTTGGAGAGATTTTATTAAGGTTGGGAAGAGTTAGAGACAATTTCTGGTATAGCAACAATACCCTGTGCCATATTCTCTTACCATCCATTCTACATGGTAATGCTTCATAATAAACCTTTCCTGTCCACCAAGTTCAATATCCTCTTTATAGCTAAATGATCTATATTTAAATTTTCAAGATATTATGAGAAAAAATGAGAAGCCTGATAGTACATATATCAATATTCTTTAGCTACTAGCAACAATAATGAACACTTGCTAAGGAAGGAAAGAAGGAAGGAAGGAAGCTGAGTGGATTTATTGTAAGACTACTGAATGGCATGCTGAATAACTAGGCCAACAGAAGCCAGGGACTTAGGCATTTCAGTGATCTATATAATGGGAAGTCACATGCTGTCTGTGTTAGGAGCCGCTATCAGATGACTGGGTTCTAACTGTCTTCTAGTCCTGGGTGTCCCTGCCCATGACTGAAATTCCCAGAAGAGAGAACTTGATCACTTTGGCTTAACATGTCTCTGGAGTCCTGTGACTGACAGCTCCCTAGAATCAGAAGTGTCTGCACATCTCCCACAAAAGAATGGAAGCTGCAAAGGAAGCAGAAACAAAGAAGTCTACACATGCTAATTATTGGCTGTACAACATACACACACGTCCTTCTTTCCATATACACCATTTGGAAATATTTCAAGTATAATGCACATATTTTAATATAATACAAATAACTGAGAACAGCAGAAAGGACCTTCCCCTTAATAGATTCCAGTCACCGCACCCAAAGAGGAAGGCTCATGGCTACCATTTCTTAGTTTACTGTCATCAAGTGATGTCCGTGCCTCGTCTTGTTCTGTCACAATCCCATGTCACTGTGCTATGCTTTGTGGATGAAACAATACATTGTTACAATCCATCTCGTATGCCAAAAAATAATCATACTAAAAAGACAAGCAAAAGAATACAAGTACTTTGGGGTGGCCTCTCTTCCTTTTGAGTGGGAGCTGGTATTTATGACCTCCTTCACTCCCCAATTCACTTGTCTCTTGCTTTCATGCAGTTCGCTTATGTTGGATTTTTTTGTCTCCTCTCTGAGATGAACCACGCCCTTATTCAGGAAGAGTCTGAGCCTTGTTGTTCCTACCTATGGATGATTGTGGCCATCTCTTCTTTTATAATTTCTGTTGTGTATAATAGTCATCTTGAAGGAGTAGCACTCCTTCTAGACCTGATTTAGATGTGGCAAAAACACTATTTTGCCTTGATTATTGTCATACCAGTATAATCTTCTTTTTAATTTTTTTTCAACAGGAATAAAGAACTTGAAATGGCTACATAGCAGTCTCAGCTTCTAATTCAGTGGAAAATCTATTAGGTCCCATAGTGAATGCATTTCTTCTTGGTTTACCAATTTCTAGATGAGCAAAAGACAGTTGCAAGGGAAGAAAAAAGCAAAAAATGTGAGAATAGGTCATTGAATTAGCTTCTTATGCTGCTATAACAAAGTACCACAAACTGGGTAGCTTAAACAACAGATTTATTGTCTCACAGTTCTGGGGACTAGAAGTCTGAGATTAAGGTGTCAGCAGGATTGATTCCTTCTGGGAGCTATGAAGGAGAATCTGTTTCATGCCTCTCTCTTCAGCTTCTGGTACCCTCAGACATTTCTTGGCTTGTAGATGGCATTTTCCCTATGTCTTCACATCATCTTCCCCCTGTACATGAGTGTCTCTATTCCAAATTTCCCCTTTTTATAAAGACATCAGTCATATTGGATTAGAGCTCACCCTTATGGCCTTGTCTTAACTTGATCATCTGCGAAACTCCTTTTTCCAAATAAGATCCTTGTGACCCTTGCACTAGATTGCCTTGAGAAGAAACACAATGGACAATCCTTAAGTGGACCATTCTATCCCGTCTTATTATTAAGAACTTCTCTGGTGTGGGGCTATCTTGTGAGTATTCCCCTGGAACACAAATAGTCTCAGCTCTGGGCAATTCTTACCAAACAACCTTGTCTCTTGACCTGATATCTAGCTTTTTATGGGTCTCTGAACATATAGACAGACCATTTTCAACCATTCAGGAAGCAGAATAGATCCAGATCTCATTCTAAGCAAAGTGGATAGTGAGAAATACTGCTTATATGTCTGCTCATTGTGAGGTGTTCGTTTCTCCAAACATTCTGTTTCTCCTCAGGATCACCCTTGAGAAAGGCTGTCGTTTGTTTGTTCATTGCAGGCTGTGGCTTCATAGCAGGTCTCCCTCTGGCTCGTGTTGGTCTATCACAAAGAAGTATCTGTCAGTTAGAGATTTTGTCTTCAGTAGGTTGATTTTCATCCTCACTAGGTTGGTCATAGGCTTTTCCTCGTGAGACTTTAAAGAGGGGTTGAGGTAAGACTTCTTCATATCAGGAGAGTGAGCAGCCTGCATAGATCACTTAGTTGTACCTATAGTTCCATCCTATTCACACCACTGGAACACGTCACAGCTGAACTTCTGTCACAACTAAGTTTCTGGCTAGATGGAAAAGGTAGCATCCAGTTCACAATGAGCTGTTTAAATCACCTGGTCACCAGGTGTCCTGTGGTTGTATTTGCAGACTTCACTAAAGTCTGAAAGGATGCCAAGAACAGTTTCTCAAGGGTAAACTAATTACTGGCAGAAGGAAATGTGACTTGCTCTCAAATCGTAAGGACCTCTACTGAAATTCTTCTTTGGGGACTTGCTGTGGTGCCTTGGA